GACGACGCCCCCGCCGAGCCTCTTTTGTCTTCAGGCGGTCGTGAGGAGGCCACGGGATGGGAGAAACCGGATCGCCGGCCCCGGCCGACTGGGAGCCCACCCAGGCCGGATTCAGCTCGGTCCCGGCCCCGCCGCGAAGCGGAACCCTCCAAGGCACGGCCTGAGGGGGGACACAAAAAGGACCGGCCCGCGGGAGCCGCGGAGAACTTAGCTCCGGGCGGGAACCACGTTGCCTCGCTGAGCCCCTTCCCTCCCCGGCCGGCCGCCAATCCCAGCCGACGCCACTTGGGTGGCCTGGACCCGCCCTCGCCGGGCTGCAGAGCATTTGGAGCCAGGCCTAAGGGGCACTGGTAAAAGGACCGCCCCCAGGGGCTCCGCCCCGCCCCTAGCTCCGCCCCGGCCCTGTCTCCGCCTGCACCGCAGAGCGGAACCCTGAGTCGTGGCCTGAGGGGGAAAGAAAAAGGGGACAGCCCTCAGGAGCCGCAGAGAATGCGGCTCCGGGTGGGGGGCAAGTCTGCTTCCCTGAGCAGTGGCGAGGAGGCTCCCGGGGCGGGTGCCAAGCCCACTCAAAGCGGGAAAAAGAGGCCCGCCCACACTTGGGCGTCCTGCGGCTCAAGATTGTAGCCCCGCTCCTGCCCCGGCCCTTACCGCCTAGCAGAACCCGAGTAGTAGGGTTCTCCAGCTACACCCCTGGCGCCTGCGACCTCGCCCCTAGCCACCTGGTCGACACTCCCTGGGCCAGTCCCGCAGTTCATCCATAGGTCTACGACTTGAAACTTGGCATTCGTTACAGTTTCTCTTGGCCGCTAATTACCTATAGTTCACAATTTTTGGCCTTGTATTCATTGTCTACGAAAATCTGGCCCACGTATGAATTCCACTGGACAGCTAGACTAATGTAATCATTGTTTCCACAAGCTCTTGCTAGTCTCCATGCATTTACTGTATGCTTGGCCCATTCAGCCCTTCCTCCTCTTGACGATCTGAAGTCTATTTCTCGGTAAGGGCCAGCTCAGATCCTCCCTTCCCCTCCCCTCCCCATTCTCTGAAGTCCTATAGCAATTTGCTTAGTAAGACCTTAGGACTTGGAGTCAGATCAAATTGAGTTCAAATTGCAGTTCTGCCATTTACAAGTGGTGTGACCTTTGGCATGCTGTTTTAGCTGTTTGAACTTCAGTGTTCTCATCTGTAAAGTGGGTATAATAGCACCTACCTCACAGGGTGACTGAAGATCAAGAGGATGAGTATAAAGCATTTAGCACATGCCTGACTCATAGAAAAGTACTTAATAAATCATAGCTGCTTTCATCATCATTGGCAATAATGTATTGCCTCCTGATGTTATGTTTTCATACACAGATGAAGCATGTTTTTCTAACTGGATTGTAAGTTACCACTGAAATACTCTTTGGCATCTCCTACCATGCCTGTTACAGTGTTGAGCATGTAGTTGGAGTTCAATTAACGTTGAGTGAATGACAATGAAAATCAGTCCTGCTGAGCTGGGTTCCCCTATGTTTGGTCCTTAACCAAGTTCTTGTTAGATATTTCAGAACATAAATCTATGGCTTTACTCTGTCACTCAATTAAAGCACCAAACCCCTCATCAGCTCACGTACTGTTTCTTAATTATTGGCTCTTGAATTATGCAAAAATCCATGTGATGTGCCTCCGTGCAGAACTTACTATGGTCTAGGGGATAAATAAAACTAGACATTGAGTTATCATCATTAAATCCCATTTGGAATCTGAATATGTACTCTTACTAGAATTTTCATGTATTCTATATTTAAAAGCTGGGATCATTGTTTCTTTTTATTACGGCTTTTGTTCACATTGGGTGCTTCTTCAGGAGTCCATTTTGCAGTCATGGGGGAAATAACTGATGATCTTTACTTATTACGTGGCATTTCCACCTAGTATAGAAACATTTTCATTTCTTGATCTCATTCTTTACTAATTCTGCTATATATACACACACACACACACCCTTTTTGGTATATAGCCAGTCTACATTCTTAGGTTTTGGTCTATGCTTTAATGCATATTATCATGTAAGCTATGTTTTTCAATAAGCTCAAAATTCTGGGATAAAATCAAGAAGGATGGCTACCACTTTTTAGCTTTTAAATTTCCCAACAAATTTTAGAGATTCATTTCGAACTAGTAACTGTGCTATATTAGAACCAGTTTCATATCTTAGTATCCTCATGTCCCTGAGATACAAAACCTCCATATCTTGGTCCCCATATCCATGAAGTCTTTCCCTGATTGTCACCCAATAGAAACCTGTCTCCAAGTAATTTCTCAAATATTTGCCAAAAATCAGATATGGTATATGATGGGGAATACTATCATATGTTTCTGAAGCTGATTCATGATCTTCATAAAGATGAAAACCCCAAACTGGACCCTGGGGTAGCACCACGTATAGCTTGTTTGATCTCAACCAGAGGGTCTGCCCATCATTCTGCCACAGAGGCTTCTTTCAAGCCACATGTCAGTACCGAAGGTGGAAACCAATAAATGTTCCTTTTGGAGGGTTCAGGTCTTTGTAAGGAAAAGCATGCCATCTTTGACCCAGAGGAGAAGATCAATTCTGAATCAGTTCACTGCAAATAACCAATTCACCAGATTTACTTATTTCTATGACAATTTAATTTTAGTTAACTGGAGATCATTTTGCTTTTCATTACAACATTTTAAAGAATATTGAATTTGTCTCTGCTCTAGTTTCCTGTAGCTAGTTTGAGACCGAGAGGTAAACAGAGGAAGCACCAGGGAGCATAAGATTTCTTCATGGTGAGGAATATATTTATTAAATATCTTTAAAAGAATATGTTCTGGAAGAATATATTTTCAATTTTTGTCTGCTCTGACTTCTTGATGTTATACCTGGAGACTGAGGTGAAAAGAAAAAAGAATATACTTATAAGAATTCTTTGCATTAAAGATTATGTTCTTATGTTTACTCAGTTTTTCCTTTTTCTTGTCCTTCCAACTTCAACTGCAGCAGTGAGGAGCTGAGGCAGACACAAACGGAATAGTCCTTAAAATGCGGATATGGGGACAAAATGACACCAAACAACTCCACTTGGTGAATTGGTCACTCAGTAAATTAGATCTTTGTGCAAATGGCCTTCAACAAACCGACCTGCCTCCTAGGTGACCTCATTAGACACAACTCGGTATCCCAAGAGAAGACGTTTGACCATTTCTGATGAAACAATCATGATGCTGCTCATTGAAGTTACCAGAGTTCCTTGTGAGATTAATGATTACAGCGTGTTTTGGAAAAAACTTCTCCAATGTTCTGAGGGAGTATTTCTTTAAATACTGGCTACTGCTCTGACACTTCTTGCACCACCTCTGCCTCCTTACAATAGTCTCAGATTGTGGAGCCAATTTTAAACCCAAAGGGAGATGCTTCTCAGGAACATTCTCTCTGTGTCTGGCTCCCTATCTGTCTGAAGTAAAAAGAAATAGACAAAAATTTGGCTTAAGGACCACAGCCCAGACACAAAACACAATAGGAAAAACAAGGGGGGTGGGACCTAAAGGTCACTGTGCATGCTTTTATGTACACTTTGTTTACATAATCTGCTTCAGGAGATGGGTGTCTGAGGTCTCGCCCCCCCCCCCCCCAAATCTAGAGTATCTCACCACCTTCTTTATCAATTTAGTACATCTTTGCAGGAGCTGAGGATCTTGGAAGGAGAGATTGCTCGGAGACCTCTTGCTTGAAGACCATTTAGAGCTCCCACATGCTAACCAGCAACCCAGAAACACCAAATCCTGTCCTCACCTTCCTGAAATCCTACTGTTTGCTGTTGAGCAAACAAATACTTGGATGGGATCTGAATCAGGTCTCATACATTACCTACAGGCCAATGGCAACATGTGTTAAAGAGATAATCTTGAAAAAGTAATGGGAAAATGGAAAAGACCTCAGGAACTGATTTCAGGAGGCAAAACAAACCCTGCTCTAATTTCACAGTCACAGGGAACCTGCTGTTTCCCAAAAGATGCTATTGTTGTGTTTGTCTTAATCAGGCACATCCTACCACGTCATGCCACGCCACCAGGGAAAGAGCTCACAAATGTTTTCTCTTTGTGGAAATTACCAAACTTAAAGGACTTAACTGCACATTTATTTAGTTGATTTTAACATTTTTGTTGATTTAACATATAAATACAAGACAATTAAATAAATCAGAGAAGAAATATTGCAAAGACAAATCAGCACTCACAGAAATGTATTATATTATCACTATGGTTAGTCTGGGATACAACATTCACTTGAAATATATGCAAGGGAACTGTAGTGAAAGACCTAACTAAAGGGTTTTGAAATTTTCCTGATAAGGACATACTTGAGGCACTGCTCAAGCAGATGTAGGTGGGAAGCAAAATAGACCCTTTATAACTAGGAGCAATCAAGGTTTGAAGGTTTGATACATGTAGAAACAATAGCATTGCAGGATAGTTCCCTGTTCCCAATAGCTGCTCCCCCTTGTCACTTTTCAAGACTTGACACATTTAAAAAAATAATTATAGATCTGGCTTGGCCAGAGTGTACCAATCATAACAATCAACAATGTACCATGCAGCTGCCTTTTAAAGAACAGCAATATGATTTTTTCCCCTTATATATATCTCTCTCTCTAAAAAAGCATTCCTACTCTACTCCCCTCTTCTGAAAGCCTCTGGGATTTGAGAAGTGGCAGTGTATGTATCTCCTCCACATTCACAATTTTCCTGACATATGGTCTAGATTACAGTTCCATCCCTCTCTGTGGCCAAGGTATTAAACTAAACATCTTGATGCAGATTCCACAATCTGATAATTAGGAATGAGGTTAAGGGATGGGTATCAGTACTGCATGCCGTGTACGGCTGTACAGGTTGTACCCTGTACAAGGATGTACCCAATAGGGTGAGTGGGGCTAAAATCTGTCCCCCATTCTGTTGGCCAAACCATGAGCCCATGGGGCTGTGTCTGCCCAGTGGGGGCACCTTTTTCTAACTTGTTCAAAGGCACTGTATGAGCTAATTGTGACACTGTCTGCTTACACTTTCCCAGTCTGGCTAGCATCATTATTTCTTGAATTCAGTGAAGTTTCTGTATTTCACATCCCATATATTCTCCAAAAGGAGCTTTAGAATTCACTGAAACATCAAGGATTTTTTGAATTATCACATTAAACAAAATAACACAACCATGATTCTACCAAGGAATAATTTTACACAGTAGAAAATAAATACAAAAAAATGTAGAAGTAAGATATTTAGCATGCGAATCACTAGAATTTAGCTTTTATACAACAAAGGCATGCACAACTAAACTCACCAACAGGCTGAAGTCAACAGTTGCTTTATATGATGTTATCAAAGATAATTTTAGCCTCTATAAAATGTGACTGGCAATGAACTACTTTTTTTAACACAAGTCTTATTCTTAGTGTGTTGTGTAAAACCAATCTTCTTTCAAAATGAAGGATAAGACACCAAATTGCAAATGTCTGAAAACCATGGTATAACATCTTGGTTTCCTCTTCCAATAGTAACCATTGCCCTCAATTAGCTTATGCTTCTCCAGAGGTTGATGAGTATAAAATAAGTTGATTTTCATACATCTCACATTGTGTAAAAGGTAAAATTGGACATTTCACACTGTCAAGCATCAGGCTTTGATTTTAGAAAAAAGGAATCACATTTGCTCAATAAAGTGTAAGCTTCCCCGCTTTGAAGTCCTTCTGAGAGCCATACGGCTTTTACCATTGCAGGAATCTTCTTTCTCATTAAACATGTGCTGTTTTCCAGCAAAATCATGAAGGCACACATCTCCATTCTGAACACCAAAAGAAACCCCATTCCTCTCCGTGGAAGCATTCCCTGTACAAGGAAAAACAAAGTCACTGTCGTGAAATATCCACAGAAAGCATTAAAAAGCAAACAAACTTAAACATCACTTTATTCGTAAACATGCACATGTAAAACATATCTTTTAAAAATATTTATGACATGTATTCATCTTTTATTTATTTTCCATTCTTTCCTTAAGGACACTCAAAGTAAGCACAACGAATTGGAGATGATTCAGAAATCAGTACTCTATGGCAGTTTTTTAAATAAATTGGTCAAAATATGAAGCAAAGCAATATATTTTATTTTAAAAGGCCCATTTCCTAACTCTGGTTGAATACATATTGACTTCAAGTAGTAGCATATGTATAATATAACCTAAAGTAATATTTTGGTCTCCCCAAAAGGTTAAGGTTAACAGATGTCCCCATATATATCCTTACAAGGTTCTTGGTTCCCTGAGATTTTTATAAAATGAAACTTTGTACTAGAGAAACCCACAGCAACCAGATACAACAGTCATGGCAAGAGGAAATCTCATAGATTGCACTAGTCCCTCTCACTAAATCAGGTAGGACTGATTCCCAAGAGGAGACCACCAATTCCAACCTAAGAGACCAGGCCAGGGAACAGCTGAGAGTTGTAGAGCAACTGTGGTTTCCCGCCCCGAGCAGGCCCTGAACCATAGGGAGACACAGCTGCTGAGATCCTCTAGCTACTCGGCACCATCCTTCTGACCATTACACCTTTGGGAGACAATATAGAAAGTTGAATAATAAGCCCATTTGTTAGTTCACGACATAATTATAATAGCAAAAATGATAATAACAGTGCTGGGCACTTTATAAGTATCATCTCATTTATAACCCTACGGGATGGGTACTATTATTATCCCCATTTCACAGATGATGAAACTAAGGTTTCAGAAATTAAGGGCTCTGCCCAGTTACACAGCTCACAAGTGATGGAGTCAACACATGATGTTTCTTCCAGAATGTGAGCTTGTGGCTCTGTGGACCAAATGAGATGGCTGCTGGCACCCACGCCTCTATGGGCGTTCATAACTGAAATATGTCATATTCACGCAAACTAGGTGATGGATAGAGTTAACGCGGCTCCATTTGTGACATAGCTCAAATAGGGTATGTGACTGTCTGAGGCAGCTGTTCTGATTCGGGCATTTTGATTTGAGGACATTTTGGTGCAGGAACAATTTGAGCTGATATAATAAACAAACCATTAAACTACCAACTTCTTTTTTGAAATTGCCAGTTCCATTCTTTGTCCATCCCAGATCCTAGTGCGAGGACTTGGGAGTCAGGGATGTTCATGTGACATGCACATTATGCAATATTAAACACTTAGCCATTTGGGGTGGCCTTAAAATGCACCCCTACCCTCACTGTCAGGCATCAAAAATAGCTGTGTCAAACCAGTCGTGTCAAAATGTGCTGCTTCCATCAAATCTGATTTCCCAAAGGATGGCAACATGTTGACAGGACTAGGCAAGTGAGGCTTCATCTCTGAGCTCTTTCTAAAATATGGACAAATCTGGTTATGGATTAAAAGCCCCAAACACGTGTTGTGATTCTAAGGCTTCTTGATGAACCAACTCACTCCTTTGATTTCTCTCCTTTCAACTTGCTTTTTCATACTAATTTACCCACCAGCCTTGATTCCCACTACCTCTCTATTTACCTAATTGAATCATTCCTGATATAGCTATTTGGCATAGAGCCCAGAGCTTTCCTTCTGGTACCCACAGCAAAGACCTAAGGCCATATGGCAGCTGTTTCTCATCTTTTACAGCAGTGGTTCTCAACTGGTGAAATTTTACCCCCAGGGGACAGCTGGCAGTGTCTGGGGACATTTTTGGTTGTCATAACTGGGGGTGGGGTGCTACTGGCTCTAGTGGGTAGAGGCCAGAGATGCTGCTAAACATCCTGCAATTCCACAAAAAAGAATTATGCTGCCCAAAATGTCAATTGTTCCTGAGGTTGCAAAGCCTTAATTTTGAGACATCCTACTGTATTTTAAAAGTCTAGGCAAACCACCAGGACCTCCCATCTTTGGGAGATTGGAAAACTATTTGTAGATGTATGAACCTTCTCACAAATTTACTTGAATTAGTCATGAAAAGACTAATATTCTAAAACAATGAATAAAGGCAAATTCTCCAGGGAAGGAGATAATACATCAGCAGAATTTGAGTTTTGATAAAAATGCAAAAGATATATTAAGAAGCAAAAGAAGGTAAAAAATAGACAAGCTTTTATGAGTAATGCACAGCCCAGTCTTATGAAAGAAAATGTAATGAAAGTTTTAGCTGGAAATATCAGAATTAATGAGTAAAGGATGCACAGCAGCAATAATCTGTTCATATATTGGTGACATATTGGTCACTAGTACTGGTCACAAGTCATCTTCCAGTATTTGATATATTCTCGGGGATTTGGGTGCTGTCACTAGGCAGCCACATTGTGGGAAAGAATTAACAAACATGAAAAGACAAAAATCGGAAGGTTTAAAAGTGTTAAAGATGTGTATGATTACAGACGTAATAAAAATTGATAGTCTTATTGGCTATTTTAAGTACTGCTCTCACAGAAATAGCACAGTACTGAAGTCTTTGGGCAATACTTAAATGAGGATTTGAAACGTTAAAATGCTTAGGTCGTCATCAATTACCATTACAAAAAACTAAATCTTAAAAAAAAAATGTTGTTCTGGTATTTGCTCTAAAATAAATAAATTTGGATGAATAAACTTTTTCTTTTAAAAGGGAACCACATATTTTGATCCGCTAGTCATATATGCAATTATTCACTTCGCTTAGCAAAAATGTCATTAAAGGATAAAACTACTTTAAAAAATAAACACTAGCTTGAGAAATACTATATTGAGACATACATACCATTCCCGCTTGCGTGTACTGAGCAATCGTTATTCACTAGCAGTGTGGTGGAGTTAGTGGAGTTACTGTTTGACTGTAAGGAATTTGAAGAGCTGGACACTCCTTGGTTTACAGTCTGCTTCTTTAAACCATTAGTAGCAGTTTTACTCCAGTCTACAGCAGAATAAGCATTACAGAAAAACAGGGCGGTATGTTGAAGCTCAAATGCAAGAGACAGATCACAGTAACAAGTTCTAGCAACTGATTTCTCACTTCAAGATCTTCCTGAGAACTCACACACTTCACAATTTGATGTGATAAAATGTATTTTCATGTAGATTCTATACATTTGTCCTTCAAATGACTGCCTGGTTAAAGCAACCTATATTCTGGAACTAAAGGCTAGGCTAGGGGCCGGCCCGGTGGCGCACTGTGATAGTGCGCCGCTTGGGAAGCGCAGTGGCGCTCCCGCCGAGGGTTCGGATCCCACATACAGACCGGCCGCTCACTGGCTGAGCGAGGTGCGGGGGCAACGCCGAGGGTTGCGATCCCGTTGCCGGTCCCGGTCCGGTACGGGAGCGACACTGAGGGTTGCGATCCGTTGCCGGCCACGAAAAAAGACAAAAAGGAAAAAAAAAAAAAAAAAGGCCAGGCTAATTTGATTGTGTCTATAAATACCCACTGAATTAGGTAGTAATTCAGAGCCTCACACTGCCTTAACAAGAACACAAATCGACTGTGTTGTAATGACTAACAGTTCTGAAATCTATGGAAATGACTGAACTATGTAATATATTTACATGAGAGTACTTCAGAAAGTTTGTGGAAAAATGTAATTAAGAGATAATACAAATCTTTCCATGAACTTTTTGAAGATCCCTCCTGTGGACTGCTACTTTCCGAGAAGAGACTCCTGTGCCCCCCAGATACTGCAAAGGTGGTGTTCATAGAAGGTATTCATGTAAAAGGAATTTAGCTTTTCAAACAGTATTTCATTTTTCTCATTATCTTAAAAATGAGCTATTTGCTTTACTACCCAATAGGGCATATGTGAGAATAACATAAAAATAACTAAATGTATGTTATAACCAAATAAACCAACATATGCTAAAACTTTTACACAAAGTCTGGCCCACTAATGAATAAAGCAACCAACAACCAGGACCTGTGGAGAAAGGGTTGAGTCAAGACTTTAAAAGTTTTATGAAGGTAAATATTAAAAATTACTTCGGAAAATAAAAAACATGAGCTCAACAGGAAATAAATTCTAAAAATTTCACTGTTGCTTCATTCAAGAAGCAGCCAGCCCATTAATTCTATTACTCACAAAATTCCCACATATGAGTAATTATTTTTTAATTCACTAGGTTTTTTTCCCCTAATGTTCACAATCAATATTTTCTGTTGAGCAGATTCCATTCACTGATTTCCAGATCGGATGGACTCTCTGACAATGATTGCTTTGATTCTTAATTTACACAATCTTTTCCTCGAGATATAAGAGGGGGAGAAAAAGTAAGGTAAATTTTTACCAGAATTTTCAGCCAGCCGTAATTTCCCACAACAAAGATATCGCCTCCATTGCTTCCTGACATTGTCTTTTGCTACGCAGTAAAAGATGAATATGAAAAATCCTAAGGAAAAAAAAACAACCCACAATGACTTTCAAACTAAAACCTAGATGTCATAAGCTTACTTTGCACTAAAGATAAAATCTTTGGCAGTTGTGGGTAAAGTGAAATTTTGCAAATTGAATAAAAAGTCCAAAGTCCTAGGAAACTGCTATCAAAAGGAACCTGGGGGATGCCTTTTTAAAATCTTTGTAAGATAAAGAATACTTATAAAGGAATGAGAACTTCACATTTCCAAAATTAAACTCACTGTCTCTCCGCTCACATCCCATCCTTGGCCTTCCCTACCTTGGAAGTACAAGCCATCCACCTGTTTTCCCTCTCCGTCTGGGCTTATGATCCATTTCCAAGTTCTGTCAAATGCCATCTCCTGCACATGTCTCACATCCCTCCCTCTCCTCTTCTCCAGCCCACTGCCCTGGTCCTCGCCTGGGCCTTCCCCTCTCCCCAGCAAGCCTGGGGCACTGCAGAGATGTTCTCATACACCTTCCTGCCTCCCTCTGTCCTGCTCAACGGAAGTTTCCCCTGGTGTCCTGGAGAGCAAGCTGAAGACTTGAAGGGGCCCTTGGCCTCCCATCCACCTCCACCCCCCAGTTGTTCAGGCCATGGCTCCTCACATAGCCCCATATCTGCCACTCCTCAAGGATTTGGCCAAAAAATATTTGCTGAATGAATGGATAAATGTGGGACCATGAGCATAACTGACTCTATCTTAGCCCTTCCCATAAAGTCACACAGTAACTAGAGGAAAGGTAGTTAGAACAACAGACAGGAACAACCTGCTGACTGTGAGGAAGGAAAGATCGAGTGCCAGTGTGACGATAAGCTGGCCTGGCCACCTGCATCAACATTTGGAGCTAGTTACATTAAGCTTGTTTATGAACTGCCTATAGAAACCTGAACTCAGCCTTGAACTAGTGTAGAGAGAAGCTTGGCACGTGCCTTTGAGTTGCTGTCCGCCTGATCCATTACTCTGTAAGTAAGTTACCCTGTAATAATGTTCTTTGCTTTGTCACATGGGATGACCATTTTGTTGTTTGGCCTCGGGATACCTTTCCAGTTAGGTGGACAATCTGCCCTTGATCTACCTTCAGACACTGAATTCTGGGTTCTCTCTCTTCCCAACCCCCAATCATCTACTTTAAGAACTGATGGATTTTGGACGTGGCCGGGGCCATTGTGCACACAATAAGCACTTTATGAGAAGACTCCTGACTTAGCAACAACTTTCCGGGTTCTGCATTGGCGCAGTTCTCCCAGTTATATCAACCTAATGGCCCCTCCCCCTGTACATTTCAAATCTAAAAGCTAATATAAAGTCTCACAAACCCATTGTTGGGGCTGTCCCCCATTTTCAGGGCAGCCACAGGCGGTCCTCCATTTTGAGCACAGCCTGGCAGATTTCTTTCTTTCATAAAGCTTGAATGGTACCCAGCACCTTGGCTCACTTTCTTTCAAGAACCTTCATTCGAAAATGCCAGATTTGCTTCTGGTAGGGGACACATGTCCACCCTCAAGACTGATATCTGAGTATTGCACACCTTTGTTTGTCTGTTACCCTGGGAGGCTCCCCTTGGTTGTGTCAGGGGAGAAACAACATGAATGAGAGAGGTCAAAATGGGGATACCCATGGCCAAATCAGAACCTACACATATCTCTACTGTGAATTAGGCATAAGTTCTCTTTTATAGATGAAGCAATAAATTCCTTCTATCCATTCATATTCTAATGAGAAGATATCCTGGGGAAGTTAAGAAAAAGAGACAGGTTCAGTTTCCACATTAAACATGTGAGGGCAGGTACCCAGCTTTTATTTTAATGATTAGTATGATTTGGGCATATATATTTTTTCTGTTAAAGTGTCTATTATTTTTAGTATGCCATTGTTGGCAAACAAAACTTTTCTTAAAACCCTTAAAAACAATTTGCTCATTTGTTTGGTTTTGTATTTAATACCATGTAGTGCAACACCTGGATATACCAATTCAGGAAATAGTATATTGTAGGTAAAAATTAACAACTGTATATAACCAACAAGCATATGAGGGGCCTTTAAAAAGTTATGGAAAGCTTTGTATTATCTTTTAATTCTATTTTTTCCATGAACTTTTTGAAGTACTCTCTGGTTTCCTCCAAATAAAATAAGAACCAACGGTCAAATTAGGCATTTAAATTTAACCTCAGGTTGGGATTTCTTTGAAAACCAGCAAAATGATCTGTCGCCTGCTTGAACTACAAGAGGATGCTATGAAAGCTAAAACCAACAGGAAAAGATAAAAACAAGCAGATGAGAGTGCAATTAAAAGGCATCCCAACAGAGGATTTGGAATAAAAGGACACCAAGGGACAGTGAGCTATTGCTATTGCAATGTAAACCTATCAGCCTGCTGGGCTTTTAATGCTAAAGCATTGCCATTAACAATGAACAGATGACAGGCCTTTTATAACACTGCTCTAAAAGAATTAGTAGTTTGCTTTTCTAAAGAATAAACCATGAGGGTTCCAAAACTTCGGTAGCTGGGCTTCATGAATAAACGGGAAGCTCCAAGTAAAGGGTGACGCGCAGAGCCTGTCCCTTTCCTGCAGTGCGTCCTAGCACAATGACTTCTCAGGATGAGCCCCTGGGCAAGACTGATGCCCCTGGGGTCTATCTAATGCTCTCCCATTTATCACTGTCTCCAAATCAAACAGCGACCTAGGAGGTCAGACTGGTGAGTCCTCATAGGGACATTTATGGTAGATGCGCTTTTCTGTGGGCATGCTCTACTTCGATAGAGTTTTTTTGGTTGTTTTTGTTTGTTTGTTTGTTTGTTAAAAAGTAAGGAACCAAGTGAAGGCAGAGCAATTGGCTCTCCAGAAAGACTTCTGGCAGGTTCCTCTCAATATGATCTCTCCGAGGAGATAACGATGGCTAAGGAGAAAACACTATTTCTTGAATTTAGTGAACACCTTTCTTCCAAGGATCTGAAAGCACCCTTTTTCAAAGAGAAATCTGTTTTTCAATGAATATATCTTAAGCCACTAATATGCTACTTTGCAGATACTCTTGTAGTAGCGATATTTTCATATTTGACTGGGATCATTCAGTTCATATTTCATGCTATAGAGCTTACCTTGTAAGGTATTAAAGATGGCAAAGAGATACACGAAGGTGATGTTAACTGGTCCCCATGCAAAGAAAGCGAAGCCCCAAGTAATTCCCAGTAAAAATGTAAGGCCGGCAATACTCCTTAGGTCTTGAATACTGGTTTTTCTCTGGGCTCCCAGTTGCTTCTTCTTTTTAATTCGGCAAAGCTGAACCAGGACCACAATGAACATGCTGACGTTCACCAAAAATATCACACAGAAATATCCCACCACAGTAATATAGAACACTGTGTTGCTGTTGATCCAGCAACTGGAATGTGGGGGAAAAACAGGGGGAAAGCATACATATTACAATGATGAACTAGAGTTCAAAATGATACAATGAATCTACAACATTTCACTGGAACATTTTCTGCAAGAGAAAAACAACAACACTGCTGTTCTCCACAACCGTTTATAGCTCTAGGGAAAGAATCTAAGAGTTGATTTTAGGATACTTGATGATTAAAAGTATTTTTAAAATTGATTTTTTAAAACATTTAGGATTTGACTACTGTAAATCCTAGTAACTCTATTCCATGAGTCTTTATTAATATAATGTAAGTGGTATTTCATTTTTATCAGAGGCTAATAAAAATATTTTCAAAATAGTTCCCCCAATTCGTTACTTAAACAGCAGCATGGCATTTCCAACTAGCATATCTCATTACATATGACCACTGAAGGCTACTGTTAGACATTTCTGCATTTTATAGGGATGAGAGCCAGAGTCAATGTGCTGATTAGATCCTCCATGTCTTGGAGAATTCTGTTTTCCATTTTACTTAACATTCCCTGTGGGGGCTTTGTACTCACAAATCATCGGGTGAGCCATTGGGGAATTTCCCATAGGATCCAAGCCCATAGTTATCTGGGGATATAGTCAGGACGATGCTCACAACCACAGCTGGTACCCCTGGAAGATGGGAAATATGGCTTACACATAGTTCTAGTAACATTCTCTTGACTTCTTATGGCAGAGACAGGCTGGGTATTCACCAAACTGCTTCTTTTCCTCTTCGGCACATGGCTCCCTGGCAGGTAGGTGTGAGTGGCCACATGACTAAGCTCTGGCCAATGGGACGTGGGCAGAAGTGACTTGCTCCACCTCCAGGCCTACCTTCTACAAACCTCCTTTGAGATCTTTCCCTCTCTCTTTTTCCCCATAGTCGGAGCAACCCTGGAAGCCCTGTCTTGAGGCAGAGTCTCTATCAGCTTGGATCCCTAAAGAACTAACTGCAAGCCCATCCCCTGAGTAACTCTTCCACCCCTGCTGCACATGAGCCACAAAAGATCTACTGAGATTTCAAGGCTTATCTGTTATAGCAGCTAGTGTTACCCTTAACTTCTACATGTCTGAAATGTAAATTTAAGAGTCAGCAATTCCTGATGAATCTTTCATTATGAAACCAAATGTCCTCAATTGATTATTTGGAACACATCGATGGATTAAGGAGCCTATCCTGGCTGAGTTGGGGTGGTGACTTTCACTATGGGGGCTCCGTCAAGGGCCCATGGGCACTTGCACTTAGAGGAGGCTCAGCAAGAAAGCTCCTCCAAGATTAAAATGGCTTTTGGCTGGAAAGGAGTCACCCTCACTCCTCCACCCCATCACCAACCCACCCCGTGCCACCATCTCACACAGACCAGCCAGACATTGTCTTCAAAGCTCTGGTCAACAAAAAAGAATTGCTTTTCATAGACCAATTGGGTTGCCTGGTACAATCTAATGTAATATTTCATTTAATTCCTTTGTATTTGTACCTTCTGGTGACACTGACATATGATGATTTCCTAAGTGAGACACTTTTCTAAAAATAAAATATTGGGGGTGGGTGAGCTCATCCTTGCCAAGGGGATCTGACCTTTCAGGCTTCTCTAAAGAAGACAGAATCTGCACCCAATATCCGGAGCAGTGGCTTACCTTTCTGGGACAAGTGGGGGAAAAGGTATCATTCTGTTGTTGTTCACAAAGATATAATGGCAGGCAGGGTGACAAGGGTGGCGAAGGGTTTGCAGTCCTGTTAGGTAGGGAACGTTTAGCCTGAAGAGGAGGAGCGAGGCTGGGGGTGATGGCGGCTGTGATCTAGTGGAAGGGACATGTGTAAGGGCTCAAAGCCACGATCGGCTGTTTTCCAGCTTTGAGAACTGGGGATAAATCACATCATCACTTTGAGCCAGTTTCTTCACCTGCAGTTGGCAATAACTACCATACTTGTCTTTAATGGAATTACTTGCATGAAAATGTGCTGAAAAATAGGGCTTTTGTACATAATGTTATATATTACTTGTGGATTATCTAAAGGACTCACTGGCAGAAGAAGTATCAGTTTATTATTTTTAGCCTGGGAGAGCAACACCAAGACCATTGGTAAGTGCCACCAGGAGCTGACTGAACCTAATGGACAAACAGAACTGCAGAGCTTTAGAAAATGGTTATTGGCTGCCTTGTAAGGTAATGAGTCCGCCAATAATGGCAGTGTTCAAGCAGAGGTTAGATTGTCTTTAGTTTAGGATAAGTCAGGTCAAGTTGAGGAGGCTCCTATATTGGGTGGAGAGCTAAATGAAGAACCTTCAAGATCTTTGGGGAGTCTAAGGCTTTGCGATTTACTACTAATAGGTCAGATGATCTGAAATAGTGAGCCAGTGTGGCCATGAAGTTCCATTAGGCTGTATATGTACATTCTCTCACTCTGCTCTTCTGAGCATACTGTTGTCATATGTGTCTGATATCTGCGAGGCACAAAACAGAGTGAGACTGGCTGGGAGATCAGGAACCGAGAGTTTGACCTCATCACCACCAAGCTTTTTCAATTTACTGAGCACCTTCTGGCACTTTCTGTGCCAGGCCCAATTCTAGTTGCTGTAGATACAAAGAGGATGCATGGCCCAACCTCAAGGAGTTTTATGTTCATAACAAATCCAGAGGAAATATATAGGGGTTCTAGAAATAGACTCAATAAAGTTGCTCTTTGGGCAGTGCAGCCTGTAAGGAGTAAAAAGCTGTTTTAGAAACTTTCCAAGTGTGATCTGCTTCATCATTGTCTCTACCTGATTAAAAATCAAAACACTGGAGAAAAAGTAGAGAAAGTCCAGGCAATGTGCTAGCAGACTTATACATACCCCAACCAACAATGCAGAATTTAAGGATGTATTTTCGGATGTAAGTATTAAACACTTTGACCAGGGCCAGGTACATATGGAATGCTTCCAGGCCCATCCATGTGAATGAGACCAAGAGAAAATAATGAAGAAACACAGCCACTGAGATGCAGAGGCCTCTCGTGTGATACAGAGCGATCCACGAGTCCAGGAGGAAGACCAGGTTGAGCAGCAGCAGGGCAGTAGACAGCTGAATGAGGATTTTGGAAGGGTAATCCCTCCGGATCTTTCTAAAAGGCAAGGGCAAGAGAATCAGCACTGCATCCTGCCAACCCTTATGTAAGCATATTTGTCAGGCTGTCTCTGAGTTCTAAGCAATTTATTTTTATTCTTTGGTAAATGTCTCTATGCATAAATTTCCTCTTTTTGAGTGTGTGTGTCTATGGGGAGGACATTAAAACCACAGCTATCACCAAGAAAGGAAAAATCTAAACAGGATCATCTGTGATAACCATATAGAAAATTTGTGTCTATATTTCTGTGGGACCTTAAACATGCCAACTGTTGACCCACACTTTTAAATAGTTTGTAGTACACTCTATGGAGCATCCACCCAATTTCTCCCAAACTACTTCTAGAAGCATTGCTGCTGCTTTTCATATAATAGGCTGCTATATTCTGATATTCAAAATATAGCCAGATTCTCATATTATTTTATGTTATTAGTTAAAATGAGATCATGGAAAGAAGAGTTTAAACTATACCTAAATGTAATGGTATAGGAAAATACAGCTAATTGATGACATGTACATGTGTATGTGTGCAAAATTAGATCTGGTGAAATCATTCTGAGTCATGGCTGCCCTTATGGTAATTTAGTCTCACTAATAATATTTCCAAAGGCCCCCTGGAAGATCTGCAGTCACAGCTGGACCCTAAGTTTGGCACTGAAAATAAATTTGTACATTTCCTGATCTGTGTCCAAAATCGAAATCCCAGAGCCTACATACAATTTCACTTAGTTAATGTAATGAAAATGCCTCTTTCCTTCTTTTCCAATAGGACTTGTTGTTATTCTCCCCCCAAAAATGACTAAAGGGACCCTTGTGGAAGCTTGAAGGAGATGTGTTATTTGGAACATCTTTCTTGCTTTGACCTACAAAGCCACATTCACTAAGTATCTATTTTTTTTCAGTGAGGTTTTACACCCTTATTCTTCTTCATCCCCATACCAGTTAATGTATTTATTCTTTTGTGTTTGCTTGGTATAATTTATAAATTTATTAAACATAGTTCTTAATGCTGTTCATGGTGTTATGGTCTATTTCAGATTGTAAGCTCTTGGATTTTGGCATCTGCATCCATCTTTTATTTCACACATAATGTCTACTAGGTACCACACATCATCCTGGGATACAAAGATGATTATGACACACCCCACCTTCAGTGAGCTCACAGAATAGTGGAAGAAAGCAAGCATATAAACCAAAAAGTCCCATAAAGGTTTATACATAGGTGCTCCACTAGGTGGGTGTACAGGATAAGGCAGGCCGAGCAAAGTGATGAATTAATACATTTTGTGACTGATGTGAGCACTGGGTCCTATAACCCAAATTTCCAGTTGTGGATACTCACTCAAAGGCTATGTAGGTTACAAGAGTAACTGACAGAAAAATTGATGAAAGCCCACAACCAATATACGTAATAAATGTCAGAGCCATGATTTGATCAGATGGTAAGGATGTCCGAGATAGGTCCTGGAAAATAAAATATTGCTTTCGATGATCACATATTTTAAAATACATACAAGAGGCACGTTTTGAGTATTCTAGGTACGCATTCATAGTCTGTTCAACAAACCTATGAGGTAGGAACAATTATTATCATCAGGTAAAGATAAGAAAGCTAAAGCCTAGAGAAGTTAGGTAACTTGCTCAAGGTCACACAGCTAGGAAGTGGAGGAACCAGGATTCAAATTCAGGTCTGGCTGACTCCAAAGTCCACATACTTGATCACTACATTATAGTGCACCAGAAAAGCACCAGGCTAGGAGCCTAAAGACTGGAATTTGGCTCCTGTTTTTTACATATATTAGCTCTATGACCATGGACGATTACCTAAAAAATGAGTCTAAATTCTGATTTTAATACAATGACAACACCAACACCCCATTCTATCTATCTTGCAGGACTGTTGGGCAGATTAAATGAGATCATTTATGTCAAAGTGAGTTGTAAAAATTTTAAAGTGCATTGTAAACTTAAGTATTTTTTTTTACCCATTCTAATCTGAATTCCTCAGTCCTCTTAGCTATTTAGAAGAGAAAAACTTAAATGTAAGAATAGAATGTGAAGAAATACTTGTATTTCATGTTCCAGGATTTTCCTGCAGGTGCATTTGCTTATTAGAAGAGTAATTTCATTGGTGTATAATTAGCACAATATCATGAAATCTGCTGATCTATCAAAGTCATACATCAGATTAGACATTGCAGTGTGATGCCCAGCTACTCCTCAGACCCAGAATCTAAGGCCACGTAGCATGGTATTACCAATAGAATGCCGAAGCTTGTAAGGTGGCTGCAGGTACAGGTGGTTTCATTCCGCCTCCTGTCTTTGACGGAGCAGCCATCAGATGACCAGCCTCCACTGCCACCTGTTGGCATTGGGAAGAGTATCTGTCCCATCAGTAAAGCCACAGCACCAATGACTCCCCGCCTCCCTCACTCGCCCATTCCAGACTTTAAGAAGGTTGTAACAGGAACCTACCGTTTCTGCCTAAGTCCCAAAATACACATTTCACTGTTAAGTCATCCTGCAGTAGAAAGATAAATCACAAATAATTAATTTGCTGAATTGAAAAACTGAAAAGCCATTAGAAAAAAAAGAAACTGTGGTATTTTTTATTTTAGACTCCTATGTTTGATTTTTGGAGAGTTCTTATTTTATATGGTCCCTAGAAGCAAGTGAGCCCCATGTAAGTCAGCACCTCTTAAACTGATCAATTGTGCATAGAAATCACCTTGGGGCCTTGTTAAAATGCACATTCTGACTCAATGGGTCTGGGGCGGGGCCTGAGAATGTGCATTTCTAGGAAACTCCCAGGTGATGCTGGTGCTACAGACCACACTGTGAGCAGCAGTGTTATAGATGATGCTCAATGTGAACTGAGCTGAGAGGATTCCCTGTTTGGAGGTAAAAAGCAGACCTGCAGCCACATATCCACATGCACCAAAATGCAGCAGTTGATCAGAGCCTGCTTTTGCACCAATCCTTCTTGGAGGTGGTCAATTATTAGGCATGTTAAAATCCAACGGAGTGACTATATGATTCTAGTCTTACATACTACTCCAACTGAGTTGAAGGTTCTTTCTGCTGGGTCTGTCTTTTTCGGGCCATATCTTACAGGCATAGTTTGTACACGGCGTTCCTGGTCAATGAACAAACCAGACTGGCCTCTCCCCACCTGGTTCGAGTCAATGTGCTTTAATGTGACGGTCACGTTTCTTGTCAAGTTCTTGATGGTTAGGTTTGCGACACTTGATGATATGACGTAGCTGATCAGAGAGAGGTTCTCCAGGGAAGGGTCCTAGTACACCAAAGAATCAGCAAGATGGCAAGGGAAATGAAATATTATCAGAGAGTTTTAGAGCTAGAAGGGATGCTAAGAACTATTTAGTTCACATTGTTTATTTTACCACATAAGTCAGAATTTGAGGGTCAGGGAATAAAGTGAGTTTCCCAAGGGACCACAGTTAGAAGCAGAGGTTGCTCCACTATGCAATATTCTAAATACTGAGTTAAATTGCTCAGATTAACACAACAGGATCTCATGAATCTTTAAAGGGAACATAATGTTAAGCCATTTAAGCTGTGTGTCCCTGAGTAAATTACTTAACCTCTCTGTGCCTCCACTGCTGCATCTGTAAAATGGGGTAATAACAGTCCCTCTCAGGGTTGTTGAAAGGATTAGAGTTAACATTTGTAAGCACTTAGGATAGTGCTTGGCAATTAGTAAATACTATATAAGTGTCAGTTATTGTTATTTATCATTACCAGAATCATTAGGCTGTGTTTTAAAACGAACTGCAGAGTTTTAGCAATTCCTTTGACTTATAGCAGGCTTAAGAATATGTGAGGACTGAAAGAAAATCCCCCCACCTCCAAGTAAAACCTGAACCAAAAGCAGTGAGCAGCCACTTTACCTGAAACAGGGCAGGTGTTTCGAAAAAGTTGAACTGGACCCTGGAAGCTAGTTCCATATCATTAGGTGGTAAATTACTCATTAGTGATGAAGGCAGAGTAATAACACCAATACTGTTCTGAGGAGCCTGAGTTTCCAGAGAAACCTGAAAATCAAGTGAAAGATAATAAAAATATCTGGTGCTAGTATATTGAAGAGATGGAAAACACAACTAATTAAGACTGAGGGTCCCACAAGGGCTTGATCTGTGGATCTCTACGTAAGATGGCTTCCTCTTCTGTTTCTCTGGTTGCTACTAAATTAAAGCAAGGATATGTAATAAGAAGATGAGGCCTCCAAGCAGGAAAGGGAACATTTTAATGATATACAGAAATAGCCAAAAAGTGCAAGATAACTACAGACCCCAGGAAGACCACAGCAGCAGACATAACCAAGGTAAATGACCAGTTAGGGTAATGTCTTCATAGAACCACATGCACTACAAAAGGGAAGACTGAAAATTAAAAAGCAAGACTTGGTTTTATTTGGATGTTTCCATACCCCACTCCCTCTAATGGGTGGATAGAAAACAATAGAAGCAGGATTGATATGCAGCACCACTATACCCAACAGTGTAGTTATAACATTTGTTAAAATATTTAAATTGGTTGATAAATAGCTGATGTCCCTGCCTACCTCTCCCAACTGCCTAGGAGACTCCCCTGGACAACCCCCCTCACACACATAAAAATCCATAATCCAGCTGCTAAAGGGTTAACACAAGGTGCAACAGGGACCTCTGACACCTTGCTCCAGCCAAGACCAGTGTCTTTTTTGATTCTGTGGTGCCTCACAATGTTCTAGATGTTACACATTTTGAATATCAACCCTGACTATAAACAGTAATTGCCTCAATCATGAAATATAACAGGGACTACAATTATACACAGGAAATGTTTTTTCCACAATCAATTACAATATACCTGAATATTCTCAGGGTCTTGGACTGCAAAGGTAGTTGTGTTGAAATTACTGGCATTCACTCTGATCACGGTCAGAGCCAGAGAGGAGGAGGTTAGACTTATGGTCTCGTTTGAAAAATTCAGCTGTAAGCCAATGTCATCCACTACTTTTAGCAACCTGTAAAGATAGGTGGCAGTTTAATTCCAGCATTCCCACTTTTTCTCTCCATTCTAAGCACAATATAGAGTAGCAACTTGAGAAGACATTATGAACCTGGTACTCGGGAGAAAAATACTTGGCTGTAATTAATCATGTAAGCAGCATCTTTATTGTTAAAGGGTCCCCCTTGCCACCATTTCCATTTGCTAAGTCCTACCTTTGAGCCAGAGGAGCCAGCAAGACGGGTGAGGAATGAAGAAGTTTGCTGACTTGGTTTATCATTTCTCCCGCGACATTAGGCTCCAAGCTGCCCAAGGACAGAGCCTTTTCCATCTGGAACACTTGGTTCTCAAGATCAGAAACACTGCTGGTGTTGACAGTCTCTATATCAAAGAGCCAAATCATTTTATGAACACACGATAAAAAAATCACTAATAAAGATAAACATATATAGACCCTGTGACCTGGTAAACTCAATTCTAGGTATTTGCCCCAGAGAAATGAAAACATATCTTAAGAAGACTAGTTTACAAGTGTTTATAGTGGCCTTTTTTATAATAATCCCAAACTAGAAATAACCCAGATGTTCATCAACTGGAGAATGGATAAACAAACTGTGTTATATCCATACAGTGGAATATTATTCAGTGATAAAGAACAATTACTGATACATCCAACAACATGGATGAAATCTTCAATTTTCCAATACATTCTCTTAAGTGAAAGGTGCCAAACTCAGAAGGCCACATACCATATGATTCTCTTCATATGACATTCTAGAAAATTCAAAACTGTAGAGAAACAAAACAGATCAGTGGTGGCCAGGGGTAGGGGGTAGTGGGTTGATGTTGGCTTTAAAGGGAAACAAGGGAACTTTGGGGGTAGAGGATAAGTTATATATCTCGATTTTGATGGTTACATGACTGGTGGTGTTTAGCCAACCACACAGAACTGTAAAAATTTCATTTGTCCATGACACTGGATAAATTTTACTGTATGTAAATTATACTTCAATAAATCTAACTAAAAAATATAAAAGCACATTAGTGTACTTAGTATATACTAATATAAGCCCAAGTATGCTTGTATTTAATTAATATCACATGTACAGAATTTTACGTGGGTCAGCTCTTTTGTGAAAAAGAGAATATTATAAAATCAATAGCTGGACTATCACCTATAAGTCTGATATTTAATAGTGTTTTTAATTGGGAAACAATGATACAAACCTGTCTTTAACAACAAAAAAGTTTCTTAATTCCAACATCTAATATCCTATTTCTTATTTTGCATATTCCCTTCTAATGTTTATCCACGTGTATTTACACTGTTAACAAACATAGTGTGCAAACTACTTGTTGGGCTATTTTCATTTCATATCAAGACTTGAAAAATGCCCCCAAGTTTCTGTATCTGTTCTGTGACTTACATAGTTCCTAATAGTCATTGTGTTGAAGTGGCTTATCTTATGTAATCATTCCTTTCTTGTGGAACTGTTAGGTTTTCTCTACTTTTTAGCTACCCAACTGTGCATCTTTTATGCATGTGTCACTTTGGTTCTGCTGTTACAGGAATAGAAGCACAAGCGCAGGAGGCCACCTTGATGGGTTTTTGTGTAGCCTGTTAAGTTGACTGTAAGGGCCAATGGGACAGCTTTGGAAAGGTGGGCATCTACAGCTCACAGTAAACTTCAATTTCACTTTCTTCTTCATCAGCCATTGAACCCTCCTTTGACTAGAGCCCTAGTGATTTTACAATTTGGCCTTAAATGTCCACATTTATAAAAAAATGATTTGGGGAGAGCAGTGCAAATTTGAAGAAATATCAATTCATTTGGCAGAAGCTCCACATCTCCTGGGGATGCTAGCACCATGGTGGAGGATGTGGGGGCCACAGCCTGGGCTCCAATCTAATGCCACCAAAAACTTGGCTTGTCCTCCCATCCTCCAAATTCTATCAAATGTCATTTTATTATTATTATTGTTTTTTTTTTTTTTTTGGCAGGTGGCCAATAGGTGGATCCAAACCCTTGACATTGGTGTTATCAGCACTGTCCTCTAAACAACTGAGCTAACTGCCCAGCTCCAATCCTCCAAATTCTAGAGGAACACCTGCTTCTTACTCACTGAATTGAAACTCCAGAGAGAATCCATAATTCTCTCTGTGTCTTCGCCTCTTCCCTTCTCTGTACTACTGAGCCTACTTTCGGCTTGGGAGCCCTTTGCAGTTCCCACAGAACTCTCATGCACACTGTTGTCGTTCTCAACCTAGTACACTTAGCGTGATGATTTTGATCTTTACATAGAACAGGCTGAGTCAGAAGGAGTCAAAAGGCTTGTCCCAGAGGCTGCTGCTTGCGAGGCCCACGTGCAGACCTGAGCTGAGGTCTTCTGAATGTCTCTCACCTCCTACGGCTGCCTCACCTTAGTCCCATCTCTGTCACTCTGTGACTGACCGATTTTCAAGAACACCAATTTTTTCTTTTGTCCTCTGTCTAAATGGAGCTATTGTGTTTAATAGTTCAAAAGTGTTCTCTTCAGAATGTTGAAAACTGTGATCCAACATCCTTTTGTAGGAGAAAGAAACCTATAAAATCTCCATCTTGATAAAATGAGATCTGTGCTTGTCTCTTAGAACTATTTCTCCACTATCTTGATGAAAAGCATGAAACTCAGCCACATGTCAGTTTCCTTTAGACATCCACGGATCACATCTTTGTATGTCTAAAGGAAAGCTCTCGAAATCAAGCAAACATCATAAAAGGAAAGGCTCAATGTGGTCTTATCACAGGTAGCTTGAGCTGCGGGCTGGCAGCTGCATTTCAGGGAGGCACATTCCAACAACCGTAGGGGCAGCATGGCCCCTCATATTCACCTGTCTTGCCAGGAGGTGCGCTGGTGGCAGCGACGTTCGTGGGGGCGGACGTGGTGGGAGAGGAAAGGGTGGATTTCACAGGTGGCGGAGTATGGGGAAGACTGGTTTGGGGCCCAAGGGAAGAGATACTTCCAGTCTGGGAGTGCGTATCAATGGCAGGGCTGGAAGATGTGCGAGCTGAAGGCTGCGGAGAAGGAAGGTGACTGTCCCCTGTTGGAAGGGGAGCATTGTGGGCCACAGGTGGATGACTGAGGGGCTTGGCCAAAGAGAAGGCACTGGAGATCTGGGAAAAAATAGTGGCCTGAGGTACAACTGGGATGGACTTGCTGGAAGAGGAAAATGGTGGGCCATGTGGATGATCCATGAGACAGACAACGGGATCCTGCAGATCACTGAAGGAAAAACCAGAGAGATGCACGTGAGATGCGGATGAGCTACAGAGGTGCCAATCTCCTCCTCTGGCAACCATCTGACCCTGGCAAGGTGATGCGGCTACATCAGGGACCTGCTAGTTATAGCCTCTGCCATTTCATACCCTCTGTGCACCTGCCTCTGCCCACTCCTACCATCTACTTCCTGGGAGATGAATTAGCAAGGAGGGGTGCTCTTTTATGAATCCCTGGTTCTGGTTCACTAGTTCACTGCTGCTCTGGGGCTCTCTGCCTTAACATTTATCACTCAGTTGAGGAAATCTTGTCACATTTCTATGTGCTCCTGGGGGAGGGGAGCTGGCAAATGCCCCATCAGCCAGCTGGTTCCCAAAGTCGGCATCTGTCCTGATCAACTTTATACTGCTATAGTCAGGCATGTGGCAACAGGCACATGGTAAGTGACAAAAAATGTTGGTTGAATGGAAAAATGAATCAAGCTGGGGCCTAAGGGGTGGTCCCCAGCTTGTCAATCAGCTATGTCCTCAATGTTGCTTTAGCTCAGTGGTTCTTAATCTTGGCTGTGCATGAGAACTACTCAGAGAACTTAAAAAAAGAAATCCATCGATCTATCTCTCTCTTTCTCTATAGATTTCTGTGGCCTGTTTCTTAGTGTCTGATTCAGTTGGTCTTGGGATAGGGCGTGGGATTCCTAGGTAGGTCTATTTTCTAACCTCTTGTGATTTTCATGAGCATCAAAGGTTGAGAAGAACTCACCTACATCTGGCACAAGATCCATCAGTCTTGGAGGGGTGATGGAGGGAGGAGCAAATCGAAGAGACCATAAACTTTTACCCAGGGAAGACTCTGATGGATGCAGTTTTAGATGCAGACTTTGAATACCAATGAGAATGTGTTCTTGGAGCTTCTCTTGGGTGAGAGCAGGGAGGAATATCAGTTTGAGGGGCCTAAGCAAGGCATATGCATAAAAAGAAATGCCAGCTGAGTCCAGTCTGGTGGGCACTTGGCCATAGGCCTCCCTGCACCCACTGAGGTTCAGGCAGCAGTGAGGACACAGGGTGTTGGAGAGTCAGAAAGACAATGAGTCAAGAAGCCTTGGCTAGGGTTCCAGTTCTCACTACTCCTCTGGACAATTTACCCAACATCTGTGAGACTCCATTCCCTAAATTGTATACTGTGGCAACCCATCTGGCCAAGTTGTAGTAAAGGTGCTTTGTAAAGTGTAAATTCAATTCTCTTTGGATTATCTGGGAACCTGCAGAAGCCAGACCCCCCAATACAGGCTCCCACTCACTGGCCTCAATTGTGAAGAGGTTGCCTGGTATTGCTCTTGACACTTAACGCTAGTTTTAGCCCTCTAGCCACCGAGTGAGGCACACAAGGAAGAGGCAGAGCAGTAGTGGGCAACACCAGCTGTCCATTAGAAACCTCTAGAGCCCTTTAGTGCCAGTGCCTGGATGCCCACTCCAAACCAGCTGACTGGAATCTCTGGTGGTTGGCTCAGGCATCAGTATTCATTTTCACGTGCTTCTTTACTGAGGTGTAGCCTACACACGGTAAGGTGCACTAACCTTACATTTAGAGCTCAATGAATTTTTATACAGGATATCTATAGACCTATATAATCACCACCGAGATCAAAACACAGAGCATTTCCAGCACCCAAGAAGGACACTTTGACACAGGAGCAAGTTTTAAATGTGCCCCAGGTGCTTCTAATGTACAGCCAATCTTAAGAACCAATGAATCAGAAAGACCCTGAATGATTATCTAATTCTAACCCAGTGGTTCTCCAACTTAGCTGCCCATTCAAATCACCCTACTCAGGAGGAAAACATGGAAGCCCAGGATGCACCCTGGACCAATCTCTGAGGGTGGGAAGCAGACATCGGTGTTAATAAAATCCCCAGATGATTCCAATATGCAGCCAAGGTTGAGAACCACTGCACTGCTCTACGGTCTAGATCCTTGATACTTAAAGTGGGGTTTATAAACCAGCAGCACTGGCTTCACCCGGGAGCTTGTTAGAAATGCAGAATCTTAGCCCCTGCTCCAGACCTACTGGATCAGAATTCATATTTTAACAAGATCCTCATGGTTGGTATGCACAGCAATGTTTGAGAAGATCTAATCCACTTCCTAATTTTACAGAGATCAAATTCACTTCCTCATTTTATCTAACACTTTGAAGGTAAAAAAGTACCTGCTTCTGGATGTAGATACACGGCTAGTTAATGACAGAGCCCTAGCCAGATGCTGGGTTCACATTCTTCCCCCTTTTCTATGTCTTGCTTCTTCTTCCTAACAGCTGCTTGAATGGGCAGCCATCAGGGGTCAGTGGGTCTGCTTCAAAAGAGTTATGGTCTTCTGATCTCATCCTGATGTTTCCGGAAATTCTATCCTCCAAATGGAGCTCAACCATCCAGCTTAAAAGGGCATATTAAGCTTAATGGGGCATGTTAGCCTTACTTTTTATTGCAGAAAATGCTATAAGTCCTTAACTAAAATGTTTTGGCTATTCCTTGAGGCCCAGGGTTTTAATAGGTCTCAGAAATATGGCCCATACAGGGTAGACAGGCTACACATAGCCTTCTGTTCCCATGAGATGCTTCATGTTGAAAAAAGTATGGCCTTTTTTCAAATACAATTTTTATCTGATTACAGAAAAATATAGAAAATGCTGCAAAGTGAAAGAAAGAAAGAGAAAGAAAGAAAAGTAAAAAATAAAATACTTATAATGCCAGAAGGCAGGTCCATCATTAGGAACCACTGTGGACAATTTCATTCATTTCCTTTCTGTGTTTTCTATGTATATTTCCATATACCTGTGATCACATCATACGTGACTTTCAGAGTCTTCTGCTATTTGGAGCATCCATCTCCCAGTTTCCCTCCACTGATGTGATACATTTGAAGTACTGATTCTCCCCTTTGGTTGCACATTACAATCACCAGAAGGGCTTTTCAAACCCTTAATGCCTAGGCTACGACCCAGACCAATTAAATCATAATCTCTGAGGTTGGAGACTGGGAATCGGTATTTTTAAAAAATTTTTTTATTCGAACTAATTTTAGGCTCACAGAAACATTGGGAAAACAATGTGAAGAGTTCCACATAGACCTCACCCAGCTTCCCTGAATCTTAATATCTAACACCCAGAATTAGATCCAAATACCTATCAAAATGTAGTATATGACAAAGGTGGCATCTCAAATCACTGGGGGAAAGATGGACTTTTTAATAAATGGTGCGGGGACCACTGGTAAACATTTGGAAAAAGATAAAATTAGATCCATGCCTCACCATACACAGGAATAAACTCCAAGTAGATCTAAATGTGAAAGAATTGAAACCATACAAATACTAGAAAACCACAGGGAGGAATTCCTCTATAACCTGGGTGTAGGAAACGTCCTTCTAACTATGCCTCCAAATCCACAGGCAATATAAGAAAAGACTGGTAAATTTAAATACATAAAATGTTTTAATTTGCATAAAAAATGATAAAGTCAAAAGACTACTGAAAAACTGGGAGGAAGTATTTGTAACATATACCACATATAAGGAGCTAATAGCCACAATATATAAAGCACCCTTAACGATTGATCAAATATTCATTAGAGAAAATAAGAAGACACGAACATATAATTTGCAAAAAAAGATTTTAAAAGTGGCCCCCATATATGAAAAAATGTTCAGACTCTGTCTTAATAAGAGAAATGCTAATTAAAGTAACACTGAGATACCATTTTTCATCTCTCAGACTGGTGAATTTTTTTAGCAAATAACAAAACATTTAGTTGGTGAGTCTGTGGGGAGTCAATATTTTTAACGCTCCCCAGGTGATCCTAATGTGCTGGCAAGATTGTGAATCATTGGTTTAAGGCAATGGTCCCAGTGGAAACTTCAGACAACAGAAAACTGTGCATTTTCCCTAAAACTGAAAGCTCTTCTTCACTCTTGAAATTCCCCAAATCCAAAAAGCCAGCATGGTGATTAAATGGTATTATTATTATTATTATTTTTTAGAAAAGGGTCAGAACGTTTGCTACATACCACTGCAGCCTTTCTAACTCCTCCGGGGAAGAAGGGCAGGGTGTCCTGACCGAACAGCAGCACTCTTCTGGAAGAGACAAAAGGAAAAGGAAAATGAAAAAAAGGAAATTCATGGACAAGAATAAAGCCAAGGGGACGCTCAGACCAATCAAGTATTAAGGCTTCTTGCACTGACTGCATTTTAAAGAGCGATTGTCTAAAACAGGCGATAAGACAAATTGGATGCCATTATACTGACAATTATAAACACATCGTGCTCAAAAACATTTATTGAGTGAATAATTTTTATTGGTTATCTGCCTTTAACATCAGTTGCTCTTCAACAACTCCTAAGAGGAATTCAGAAGTAAACATATACCGGAGGACATTATGTTAAGTGAAATAAACCAGTCACAGAAAGACAAATACTGCATGATCTCACTTATAGGTGGAATCTGAAAAAAAGGTCAGTCATAGAAACAGAGTAAAATGGTGGTTACTGGCAGGGGGGAGGGGTGATGTTGGTCAAAGGACACAAAATTTGAATTAGGAGGAATATGTTCAAGAGATCCATTGTACAACATGGTGACTATAGTTAATAACAGTGTATTGTATACTCAAAAATTGCTAAGAGAGTAAATTCTTTTTTTTTTTTTTTTTTTTCATTTTAACAACTCCTAAGAGGAATTCAGAAGTAAACATATACCGGAGGACATTATGTTAAGTGAAATAAACCAGTCACAGAAAGACAAATACTGCATGATCTCACTTATAGGTGGAATCTGAAAAAAAGGTCAGTCATAGAAACAGAGTAAAATGGTGGTTACTGGCAGGGGGGAGGGGTGATGTTGGTCAAAGGACACAAAATTTGAATTAGGAGGAATATGTTCAAGAGATCCATTGTACAACATGGTGACTATAGTTAATAACAGTGTATTGTATACTCAAAAATTGCTAAGAGAGTAAATTCTTTTTTTTTTTTTTTTTTCCATTTTGTCTTTTTTTACTGACCAGTAACGGGATCGCAACCCTCGGTGTCGTGCCTGCACTGGGGACCGGCAACGGGATCGCAACCCTCGGTGTTGTGCCCACACTGCGCTCAGCCAGTGAGCAGGAACCGGTCTCCACATGGGATCCGGACCCTTGGCGGGAGCACCACCGCACTCCCAAGCGGCGCACTATCCAGTGCGACACCGGGCTGGCCCTAAGAGAGTAAATTCTAAAGGTTCTCACCACCAAAAAATAAGTATGTGAGGTAATGCATATGTTAAACAGCTTGATTTAGCCATTCCACAATGTATATCAAAACATCACCTTGTACACCATAAATATATACAATTTTTACTTGACAATTAAAAAAAGTAAACATATCCTAGTAGCAACACATTGAATATTCCAGACAGAATTCTCCCTCTCAATACAGTTTGTTTTATCATGTTTCCAAATACAATGCACTACGTTGAAACTTCATTAGAAAGCAGGAAAAATAACTAGAAGGTGCTCTCTAAAAATTGTCCAAGGACAAAAGAATCAAAGAGAAAGCTGTAACAGATGTAAATTTATTAATTATATTTTTAATTTAAAAATAACACATTGAAAGTCATGTCAAAATGAACAGCAATAAAGATAGAGACAACTTACTCATCGGTCGAATCGTCACTTTTTTCAAAGCAACCATTACAGCACATACAGTCATTGTCTTATTCAATTTAATTGTGAATGTGCAATTTAATGTGCTGTAAAGAGAAACAGATATAACCAGAATGTTACTAAATTGGAAACCTAACTGCACATTTGTAATTGTTTTTGCAAACTTAAGAGTAAGGAAAGGGGACATTGACACTGTTAATTTGCAGTGTCACCCCATAAGCTTGAGAACACCCATTGCCATTGTCTGAGCTTTACCTTAAAGACTTCATGCTAAGAGACTATAAATGTTCACATTCACAGAGGTTGCAAACTAGAGACCCTCTGACCACACCCAGGGGCTGGTTCGTTTTGCCTGCCTGCACAATGAACAGGCAGGGGCGCAACTTGGTTGCAAAGACCAGCCTCTTGACATCTATGGTCTTGTCCCCCAGCTACTTGCCTGGTGGCTATATGGCATTTGAGTTTCCATCACAGGAGCCCTTTCACATGCCAGCCCGGATGAACATGAAGGTCTCTTACATCCAGAATCTCTCTGGAAATTCAATCCAGACGATCAGATAACTAAGAATTTAAGACATTCTCTCTGTTTCTTTCTACTTTAGCTTTGGCTTAGATGAAAAAAATTAACGTTGCAAATAATGAAAAGGGGTAAGTGAAATGAACTAAATACATATAGTGGATAGGGATTCGACCTATAATTTCATGGAAGACTTGCCATTATTTGTGCTAATGAATAGTTTGATGAGTGGAAACGGACATTTTCTAGGACTTTGACTCTCGCAGAACACTCAGGGTAGTGAGATGATTGCCCTGTAAGCCAATGGTTTATGCAGCCAGGAGAGCGAATGGACACAATTTAAAATGATAATCTGTGCAACTCTAAATAATTATTGGACAGTCTGACTCACCCCTGCATGTACTTTTTAATTTCTTCTTTTTTCTTTCTTTCCAATCTTTTCCTTCCTCCTCTCTCCCTTCTTCTCCCAAGCTCCATATTATATTCCTTCTTCCATCTGTCCTTCACCCTGCCTGGACCACTGTGATCCATTTTTCGGTCAGATTGGTGACCCTTGGGGCTAAGGACAATGATGATCCTTAGCCTCATAGAACCAGAGGTAAATGACCCAATACCACACCCCCCTTCTGTGTTTCACAAAGAAATGAGTAGATGTGACACAGTGATAAGCATTTAGAAAAATAAAAATATATAAATCCAAAATGTCACTAATATGTATTTATTTTAGAGGAATGCTTTCAAATTTGCAATTGAACTAAGATTCTTTAATACTTTATTTCTCATGAATGGAAAAATAATGATATTTATAAAAATATTAAAAATGACTGACCTTTGGGCCTCTGCAGTAGCACATGCTATAAAATAAATCTAAAACAGAAAAACAAAAATATGTATGTTACTTTGACAGTTGGAAATGTTAGAAAAGATGATTCAGAGCTAATTACAAAACCCCTAAATTTTAGAACCACAAGAACCCCTAGGGATTACCTAATTCACATTCCTACTGGATTCCTGATCTATTATCAAAGCCATTCAGGCCATACAAGCTCTGCTTTGATACCTCTGGTGTCGGAGAGCTCACTACTCCACAATGGAGTTCATCCTCCCGGAGTTTTCATTTTAAGAAACTTTTGGTCTTACATGAAAGAAAATCTACATCCTTGTAATATTTACCCATTGCTTCTACTTCTGATTTTTGGAATTATGGGACTTCGTCCGTTCGTTGTTTTACATGACAGATTTGGGGGAATATAAATACATGAATATAAATACATATCTGCCCAGGAATGCAGAACTCCATGCCTTCCCTCAAATAACAACAATTATAAACAAGCCACAGGGTATACTATGATTACCTCACTCAGGGTTTGCAGGGTTTTGTTGAGCTCTGATCGTCTGTCAATAAAATGAAAGAAATGGACATTATGGAGACCATTAGTAATGTTAAATTCAAAACAAGTTAGATTTTTAGCAATTAAATCAAGCACACGGTATTTATGGCTTTGTGTTCACTTTGAAGAAACACACGGTATAATAAGATTCCTATGTGGGAAAAATAAATTATTTATATGACAAAGGAAACTAACCAGACAGGAGCTGCACCAGTTCTAGCCAAGAGTGAGACACAAATTATGGTTCAACAATCTTGCTATATATTAGGCTACTGTAACCTCTAGGCACAGAAAGAGCTGGCCCAAGGCAAAAATTTCTGAGAGGGGCAGCTACTCACCCTGGGGACTCTGTGCTTCTGATTTCTTCCCCATTCCCTCTCTGATCCAGCCTGTCCTCCCTAGCACTCTCCAGCCCTGCCTTCCCCTCCTCACCACTGCCCTTTAGGAATTTCTCTCATTCCTCTCCTCCAAGCTCACTCCAACAACACTTTATTTCCTTCAGTGTGGCAGAGCTCATATGAAGTTAGGATGAAAGAAATCTAGTTAAAGAATTCACTTCGAGGCAGTGGTTCTCAACCAGGTGACTGCCCCCCCCCCCAGCCCCCGGGGACAGCTAGCATTGTCTGGAGACATTTTTGGTTGTGACAACTGGAGGGAGGTAGGGGAAGTGCTACTGGCATCTCCTGAGTAGAGACCAGGGATGCTTCTATACATCCTACAGTGCACAGGACAGCCCCACATCACAAAGAACTATCAGGCCCCAAATGTATTTCAATAGAGCTGAGGTTGAGAAACCCTGCTCTAAAGAATGGGCAATAATTCTAGGTGGCTCCAGGCAGGGTCTGGGAGGAAGAAGAGAAGGCAGTAAGTAATCAGCTAGCTCCTCAAGCCAGCAGGAGCCACTTCTCCACAACTATGCTCAGAGGCCATCTTCTTTCTGGGAGTTTCCCTGGCCCCCCCAAGTCAGGTCTAACCGTCCCTTCTGCTCTGTACTCAGATACTTAGAACATCCTCTGGTGCCCTATACATGCCACCTTCATTGTAGGGATTGTACTGTATTGTGATCGTTTGTTTGCATCCCGTGTCTTCCCCAGCAGACTCTAGAGCCCTGGTTCTCAAAACTGGCCTCGTGTTGGAACCACCTGGGGAGCATTAAAAAATACTGATGCCTGGGTCTCTGCCCTCAATACTGACTTAATTGTTATGGTGTGTGCCTGGGCATCGGGATTTCGGAAAGCTCCCCAGGTGATTTTAATACACAGCCAGGGCTGAGAACCTCTGCTCTAGTCTTGGTCTCCATCTCAGAGAGTTGGGATTCATTCCTATTTGTATCTCCAAGGCCCAGCACATAGCAGCTGCTCAACAAATGTTTGGTGACCTTAAATGAACTCAGCTCTATTTCCAGTTTACTCATTAAGATTAATTACTTAAAAGTGTGCTAAGTTGTGTTCTAGTTGTAAGTTTGTGAGTTAACAAAAATGTTTTCTATGTTTGTCCATTTAAAGTCTAAAATCTATCCAGGACATTGATATCTTCTGCTTTTCATTTCACTTATATAATTTTGAATAGTTAGGAAAGCTGGATTTTCACCAGGAGGTCAAAGAATAGTCATAAAGGACATGAACAACACTCCACTCCAATCCCAGTTCTCACTAGGTGAACTTTTACCACCATAAACTCAGTAGGCCCCAGGGATGTTTGATGCCCACCAGGTAGAATCGTGATGTTCTTTTCCGCCTGGGCGCTGCTGAATCATCAGAAGCGGCCAGGTCAAATGCTAATTTGAAAGGATGATCCATAAGAGGAGATTTGTTTTTTGGGTTTTTTCCCCCCCCAGGAAAGATTTTTCTTTTCAGTGTCATCACAGACACTCACCAGAGCTGATTCAGTTCAAAAGTTCACAATGATCTCATTTGTGAGATAACAGCAAGGTTGAATAGATGAATATTACCTCAGATGCTGCTTCCCTGCCACAAGGCCAAGACATGAAGTTGCCCCTGCCAGTGACAGCCAGAGTAAGTCTGGCTCCTGGCCTAGGCCACTGTGCTGGCTGCCATTTTGACCTCTTGTCTAACTGGGGGCATTTGCGTGTAATGCATTTCTCATTGTCTGTGCTGTCCTTGTAAGCCCAGATCTACTTAACAAAGACCTCTCTGATTTTTGAAAGCATGAACAAACGGGATACCTGGAGTCCTACCTCGAACCCTTCTTTTAACCATGCTGGATATCAAATCATTGAAACTCAAATACCAGTTCAAATGAAGCTGTTGTGTCATTTCAAAGCATCAAAGAGAACAGCTTCATGGGGACATTAGTTGATGACAGGTGACCATGATCAGTTTGCAAAAAAGTCAAGAACCAGTTAAGCCTGTAACTTTCCGGTCTCTTTCCTATGATCAGTTTCCAAAAGCAAAGATGGCTGACAAGCATGGAAACACAGGTGATGTATGACATTGTAAATCAAACAGCAGATTACTCACTTCAGTTCATTTGGAGACAGGACTCCAGTTAAGGTGCCATTAGCTATATCTTGATTCTGTTAGAAGCACAAAGTCATTAAGAATGCAACATTGTTTTGTTTTGTTTCGACACTCTAACAAGAAGGTGTTCTTCAGTTTTGTTGGCCACCCAAAGAACTACACCCCAAAAACTGAATCCTAACTGCATGGAATATTGTCTATTAAATGACCAAATTGCAGGTGCATAGATAAGGCAGGGAGGGGAAAAGTGCTTCTCAAAAATTAATCCATATTGGCTGAGCCGGTTTTTGTTTTCTGTTTTCTTTAAAAGATATTCTGAGTCAGCAGCTTTGATGTCATAATTTCTGTCTTTCTTCAAGGGTTCCCCTCAAAGAATGTCATTGTTTTAATAAAATGCTTAAGTAACAGACCCCAGTGTAGAAAAACAAACTGGATAGCAACCATCAATGCACTTCTGGCACCCAGTTCATTGTCCGGCACATAGTAGATGCTCAGAAATATTCACTGGACGAACAAACCACATTTGGCTGGGACTTCCTGAACCAATCTAGGTTATAGGAAGGCTGATATTACTGTATCCGAACCCCCCAAGGGACAAATGGGATCAGATCTAGACGATTATTCTTAAATTCAATACACATATTTCTTGTTGCTAGGAGTTTTAATATAATTTTAAATTTTAATTGGTAATAGAATTGCATCATATTGGGCCGGCCCGGTGGCGCACTGCTACAGTGCGCCGCTTGGGAAGCGCGGCAGCGCTCCCGCCGAGGGGTTGGATCCCA